TCGCTTAGAGACCCCCTCTATATATATATATATATATATATATATATATATATATATATATATATATATATATATATATATACACCAAAAAACACATAATATTATTGATGATGATGATAATAATAAATAATAATATTTAATAATAATAATTATAATCACTGACATATAGTATAGTATTTCAATATAATTTTTCAAATTGCCAAGCTAACTCACAATATTCCAGCTTGTTTGCATAGTACCTGCATGGCTGAAGAAGTGACGTTGGTAATCATATTTCTCTTAAACGTCCTGTATAAAAAATTATAAAGATAGCCAAAGAGTAATTAATACAGTAAATCCATATTTTATTTCGGTTGACAACAGACATTTAACAAGTGTGCACCTCATAGTGGCTACCACCAGCTTAATGCATACAAATTAAATAACCAAGAACAAGAAATGAAGAAATAAAGACAATGGGGAAAGACGAAAGAAATACAAGAAAAGAAGAGTGTAATGGTACACCCGTTTGATTCTGATTCTCTCTGTGCTTATTTATAATACTAATATTTTCCCATTCTGGAAAACACATTTAAGTTTTTGTGTAGGTGTTTTGGAGGGTGGGGATGGGGGAGGTTGTGTGTGTGTGTGTGTGTGTGATTATTAATTACTGTAAATTGAAACAGATAATATATAAATTACCCTTAGGACTGCACTCACCCATCGGATATTGAATCAAGACCTTCTAAATGTTTTCCATCTAGAAGTTTTATGCGATTAACAGCTATATGCCTACAGTATATAACATAAAAGTGAAATCATAATTAGACCATAGTGAAAATACAATATTGTGTACAGTACATGGTTGTATAAAGGAGTTAGTAATGGTAATGGTGGGATATTTGTAGTGCGCCTTCCAGAATAAAATCGTCTCAAGGCGCCGCAAAAAGGTAGGACCATACGTTAAATAAATATAAATAAATGAATAAAGTAAATAAATAAACAACACACGGAATTAACATATTCATGGATTCTGGCCCGACGTTGGCATACCTCAACTGAAGGAATTGTTTATTGATTTATTGATTTATTGATTGACTGAATATTTTCAATATAACACTCGGTCAAAGTCAAAAGGACAACATTTTTAGTTCATCAGTTCAATAATATACAAAATGCATTAAGAAAATTGAAAATAGTTGGAATACCTGTTCATTTATTAGCAAATCACACATACTGTCACATAAAACTGTTCTTGTTTGACAAACTGATATTGCTGTTTAACTTAACAGTTTGTAAAAAATATGATATTACCATTATTGGTCTCTTTCAGACAACACCTGGCCCAAATTTCTGTCCACACTATCACATTCAAGGTGATAATATATGTGATATGCCCATACTTGGTGTAATATGACATCACAGAGCCCATATGTAGGCACACCAAATTTATTATTTGTCACATAAAATGTTGATACAATATATATTTTCAATATTTATTGGATTACACTTTCATAACAGTAGCACATGTTACACAAAACCTGGTGCATCCAAAAAAAAGAACTAAATATAAGATGACATTCTTAACTATAAAAGAGATTTGCACATTACTCAAAATTACATTATTGCCCATCCACCAATCAGATTAAACACTTAAAATGAACTACAAACTAAACAAGAATATAAGACTGGTTTTAAAAGTCGTGCAAACCAATCAATTAAAATGTTGGTATTCTTATAATAAATTTGTTATTTTCATTTCCGAGGATAAAATGTAATTTATTTCTGTTATCAAACTGTTCGAATTCTTGGAAAACATGTAGAAGATTATTACTATAAAGCTGTTGTTTAAATCTGGCAATGTCGACTTCTCTGATATTATCAGGAATAGGGCAACTTAAAAGAAAGTGGATTAATCATTCTCTTCACCTGATTACAGAGTTTGCAAATGTCATCTTCACATGGCTTATTTGAGAATTTTGCATGTTTTTGAGTTCAGAAGAAGCGTATTTTTGAAGTAATTTAAATTTTACTGATGCACCCTCCATGTATCGAGAAGGCAGTCTTCTAAATTTGGTACGTTCTTTATAGTCATATAGTCTTCTATTGCTGACTTATTAGTTCCATCATCAAGTCAATGGGAGAGACCAATCTGTGCTCACATTATTATCATCTTTTTGCAGATCTAAGAAAATATTATCCATATTACAGTCATTGAGAATGTTTATTATACAAGTAGGTAGGCATATTTTAAAAGCAATATCATTAAGATTAATTGATGATGTATTTACAATATTTTTCTTATTGTCTTTCATTTTTAAAATTCTATCAGTGTAATTAATTCTATAAATATTTTGTATTAGAGACATTTTTGACCACCCAAGATCACGGTACAGTGTAACGCAAAGTGTATTGCGGGGGTGGGGTGGGGGGCTTTTAAAATGAATCTAAGTGTGGACAGAGCATTACGCGTAATGCCAGAGACACTGCTTTGCGACAGACGACACGAATTCATCTCCGCTGTGTGTGAGCGGACATCACTGACTTCTTCCCCGACACGGTTTCGGGATTCCTCGACGGGTGTCTTGCGACCACACTGGCGCCATCGCCACTGGTTTCGGGTCTTCATCGATTCCTGTTGGCCGAAAAAGTGCAGAGTGTGTGCGCCATCTAATATTATATATATTATAATATTATTTTTTTTAAATTTCTTTTTCAAACTTTCAAAAACAATAACGATTACAGTTACGTCATCAATTGTTGAACTTTTATGAAGATTAGAGATTATAGGTGGTACTAGTATATAGGAATTAAAAGTCAAGTTATCTTCTAGAAAGGTCACCCCAGAGAGTGTGTACGACGTGGGAAGAGTTGATTAGGAGAAGGCTTTGTAGCCTGCAATTTTGTAAATGAGACGTGGAGAGTGAAAGGGTGAAACGTGACTAGTTTTCACTCCCTATCATAATGAATGGTCTTACAGAAGTGAAAGTGAGCTGCATCCTTTGAATCCACCTGCGGGAAGATACTCTATTGCATTTTCATCCAGTCTCCTACAAAATAAAAATAATCTAATCATTTCATTTTACCGTTATTTCTTGATTCACTAATTATATTTTCATAGTATTTATAGAAAACTTTTTTAAGCAAAACGTTCGGTATGTCACTATTGAAAATCGATCCCGGCGACCCTCTGATCACTGTTTAGCTGTCATCGGTATCACCTGATATATAATATGTTAGATCGTAAAAAAGAATTATTATCTTCAATAATTAAACACCATATTTTTTGGCAAATTTCATAAATATGCCATCTACTTGATATTAACAGCAAAAAATTGTACTCACAATTCGAACAGATATTTCATACCCACAAATTCTGTGCTGAAGTTTTGTATTTTATTTTCGGAAAGATTTCTAGAAAAAAAAAATCTGGCAGTTGTATGTTATATTTCTTGACGAGGCCATTAGATGTTTTTATGACGTGATTAGGTTTCCTTTCAAAATGGACCTTTTGTAAAACAAATTTTACAACTGACCAATCAGAACGAAACTTGCATAGGCCACTACCTAAAAAATAGAAAGGTTTTGCAACCACATAAAATGCAAACGATAACAAACACGAATACATTATCTTCATCATCGACATTCGCGGTTAAGACATTCTTGAAAATACAGATGTGGGCTGAAATTGATGGTTGATTCATGTAAAATACATGGATAGATAATGCTGTGACAGATTGTATGTGATTGGTCGACTACAAATTTGATGTAACCATATTCGTTATCGTTTTCGTAAGCTCAAAAATAAATTATTTTCCTGTTCGTTTTTAAGTTATTGTTGCAAAACAATTTGCTGAAGAAGTGAAATAATGACCCAAGTGTTTTTTAAGTGAATAGGAATAGCACCTTGTCTGACAGTGTTAACAGTTGTGTATTAATTGACATGGGGAGAGGGCGACTAATATGAAATGAATAGGGGGACAGGCTCGAGATACATGAACCCATCGACAAATTATGGACCTTGTTGGAGAATAAGCCTATATTATTTTGGGAACACTCATGTTGTGAACCTATTTTTAAAGTCTAAAAGAACGGTTCTGGGTATGTGTTTATTTTTAAAAATTGCACCTTATAGCCCCCAAACACGGTGGGGCTGAGCAGGGAATTGTTATATATGAGGTAGTGGTCCCCTTTACGTGCTCGGGATATTTCTAATGGTATAGTAGAACTGGGGGAGCAAGTTTGTCCACACCTTCTCTATTCGATATTCAACTGCACAACAACCTCACTTTTAATGAAAACAAGGCCTATCACGGTTGACGTTAAGGTGGTATCATCAATTTTAAGCCAGAAGAGCTAAACTTACATTGCGTTAATTGTCTTCGGTAACACAGGAACTTTAATAATCCTGTTTTTTTGCAGCTCACTGGAAATAATAATAATGATAATAATAATAGGTTTACAAATGTATGTATTTCAATGTAACGCTAACAATTTAATAGGTAAATTTGTGTTTAGCATTAATACAAAACACGTTATATATACAAGTTGATATTTCCTACATAGTAGACTCTATCTATACAATCGATTAAAAAGGCTTTTGAAACACCTAAATTGTCATATTTTTCGCCTCCTGGACCACTTTCGAAACATTTTGAGCGACGCCCGATCACGCCCACTTTGCTCTAGTTGGTGACATTTGCCTATCTGTCTGGGACCTCCCCTCCACCCCGTCAGGCAAATTCTGGCGCCACGCCTGCTTAAAATTATTCTAACTTTAACTATGTTTCAATCAAACTCACTTACATTTGCTGAAGATTGGTAAGGTGAAATAAGTCAGGCACAGAACTGATGGAATTTCCTTTTAGATTTCTGGAATAAATGCAATTTTGAATTTGAATACAGTTTAAGACATACGGTATGCATGGGATTTGTCCAAATGGAAAATACTATGTAATTTATTAATTATAATTTATATGGTATTGTGATGCACTTATTTATCACATGGTTTGGTAAACTTGTTAGACAATGTGACTTTTTATTGAATAGTGGGATTTAAAACCATGTACGGTATTCATCGTTATCATCATCAATAGCCGTATAAGCAACCGCATCGTAAGATTATAATTCTGATCATAAACATGGTCATCATTATTAACAGCGGCATCATCATTATCACCCCCACCACCACCATCAGAAATCATCATCAACAGCCGAATCAACAATATAAAGTAATCACCAATATCGTCATCATTAATTATAACTATAAATTATCATCGTCATCTGATCATAATCGCCATCGCTATAATCCTTGTCATCATCAGCATTATCATCCTCATCTTCTTCATAATCATTGATAGTAGTACAGCAGTAATAAATATCTTTTAGACTTAAGTGGCGATTCTACTAAAGGAGGGGCTGGGGCGAAGGTGAAATGGTTGCTCGTTCCTTAAGTGAGGTGATCTAGCTTGCAACATGATATGAAGTGAATTAACTACATGAGTGTCATGTTTATGCTTTGAATATGGGGGGAGGGGGAGTAGAGGAGTGGGGACACTCCGTATATACGTCACTGTTAGACACCATGAAATGGATAAGTTATAATGACTGAATGAAACTTACAGCGCCTGTGTATCATTCGGTATTCCAATTGGAAAATGTAGAAGATTTAGATTGCTACAATCAACAAGCTTTTCAAACTCTGAACACTTGCAAACACCATCTTTCCAACCATTGCATGCAACAGGAATTGATGGCAGTGACGTTATTAGCAGAGGTCCCGGCAAAGTTTCAATAGGATTATCCAACTTTTGCCAAGATAACTGACAAGATAGCTGGAACAATACCAGCTGTAACCACAGCGCCTGATGATACAAACGATCAACATGATATTGTAAACAACAGATATTTTAAAAGCAATAAACCCTTATCCACTTTTGTGACCAAGTTTAACAAGTTTCTGATAAAAATCAAAATCGTGATCTTTCATTGTTTATATTTAAAGAACGAAATTTACAGACATGTAAATCATAGTTACAAGGTAATATACGGTGTAATAAACACATGAAAATAAATTCATATGTCACTCTTATTATTGTAGATAGGTAAAAATACAATAGAACAACAGTCATGGGTGCTCCATACTATTAGCTATAATGGATGACATTATAGTAATGATATACAGATAATACAATATATATATATATATATATATGTTAAACTTACAGCGCCGAATGATACACAGGCGCTGTAAGTTTCATATATATATATATATATATATATAATATATATATATATATGTATATATATGTATATATATATATATATGATATTAAAGGAAGTTAGCCGTTAACACTGTTGAATAAATATATATTATACTAATGGCGTAAAATATCAACCAACACTTACCCAATTACTGGTCGACATGTTTAATAAAAGTAACAAAGAAGTGAATGATGACAATTTTTATTGGCTTCATAAGCTTATCTGTCAAGTTAATATCAGACATAATTAACTCTTTGGTTAATATGAGAAACTGATAAGATGTAGCATGTGTTATCCAGGATGTAAACCGCTTTCAATTCACATCAATGCTCATAAGATATAGTGTTGACCAGTGCTATATGATTTTGTTAAAAACACCGGACTAATTATAATAGTTAATTGTTTAGTTAATTTAGATCCAAGACTAAATAAACAGGCTCTGTCTCCTTGGTTTCTCGGAATATTAAATTTCATGAATTGTATAGTAAAAATAATTGATGATGATAATAATAATAATAATAATAATAATAATAATAATAATAATAATAATAATAAACAAAATAATAATAATTAACAATTACTAATAACAGTAATTGTTTAAAAAATGAGGTCAGTCTAAAAAGTGCTTCTAATCATATGCATTCTTAATTACTAATATGACTGTTGCAATTCAAATCGTGAATAATAAATGCTAACGACTGGCAGGATATTACAAAGAACATAAATTTAAAGGAAGTAAACCAATGTACTTATTTTTTAACAATTGCAAAACCTTCAGCTTTTCCCAAGAATATCAATAATTATAATCAAGAGCACTCAGTAAAGAGCTTATATCTCTGCCACAGCAAATCTCTTTCTATAAAATACATCTCTCAAACTAATTTTCAACCATCACCACTCCCCTCCCTTTCGCTCTATTCCTCTTTAAAAAAAAAACCACTACGTTTTTAATTAACAAACTGGAAAATTTAACGTCAATTCTAGCATTTAATTCTGTAGTAAAGTAAGATAACCCATAATACTATAATAATGATTATAATGATAATTATTAATAATCTTAGTCGTGTTTTGTACTGAATCAAATAGCGTCGTTCAACATTAATAATGCCATTGATATGAGTTTCGAATTCAATTGAAGTTATCTCTTGGTAAACCAAATGCTACATGTCAGGTATGGTTTCGCCTACAATGACGTAATGGTGTAGTGTCGTCATCCATCATACCTCGGTGAGTATTAGCGCCATCTATCTTCTTGTTATTGGTCCGACAACTGTTATCAAAGATCTTATGCCTCTTATATCCTTGTCAACACATGCATACCTTATCATTTTCTCATATTAACGAAAGCTTAATCAAGTTTGATATTCATTCTTCAAATAATATTTCCAATAAGAACAGTTATCATTCCTTTCTTTGCACTTTTATGAGGCATATGCGTTACTGAATGAAAAGTGTACAGACAAATTTTTTAAAATGTCAAAAAGTATATGGGTAAGTGAAAGTTTTGTTTTACACCATTTTTAAAAATATTTAAATACTTTACTGTAGTAAAAATAGACCCAGTTAACAATTTCTGTTGTAATAACGCTGCAATGTTCTATAATTGTTCTTATATACATATCGGTTGTTTCAATGTGTTTTAGTCTGTTTTGTATTCATCCAGAATAAATATAAAGAAAATACATTTAAAAATTGAATACAATTTTGAAGATGACTCGACTTTATTATTTGATCACCAGACGCTGTGGTTACAGTTGGTATTGTTCCAGCTATCTTGTCAATTGTCTTGGCAACAATTGGATAATCCTATTGAAACTTTGCCGGGACCTCTGTTAATAACTTCACTGCCATCAATTCCAGTTGCATGCAATAGCTGGAAAGATGGTGTTTGCAAGTGTTCTGAGTTTGAAAAGCTTGTTGATTGTGGCAATCTGAATCTTCAGTATTTTCCAATTGGAATACCCAATGACACACAGGCGTTGTAAGTTTAATTCCGTCACTATAATTTTACACATCCTGAACATTATATATCTGCTGTCAATCCAATAAATATGCGTATGGATTATATCTAATGTTGATAAAGATGATGATAATGATGATTATAATTTTAGTCTAACCATATAGTCAATCTCTCTAACTTCGGATTACAATACGTAACGTCAATTGAATGGGGTTTTTTTTATATTCGATCGTGAATTCATTAGACGGAAGAACAAATATTTTTTTTGGCCTGGTCTACAAATGAGAAAAACTTCTATTTAAAACGTCACTAAGAGATCATCTGCATATGCTAGAACGTTAAGCTTCGTTGTGCAGGAAATGCAAGAACGGTCACGAAAGCTCCATTATTGACTTAACTCTTGTAGAAAGTCTATGTGTAATCGTACCGATTAGACAATAAAAGGAAGAAGAAGGGCAATGGGAAATCACAACTCATAAGAAATTCAAAAATATCTGTGTTTGCAGTTCGTCTTATACTTTAAATTGTGAACTTTTTATTTTAACTTTTGTTAAAATTTTTTTAATCTTTTTTTCGACCATGAAAATGAAAAAGTGAAAAGAGAGGAAAACACACAAAAATCAAATCCTTCCATTTATATTGCGCATTCCAACAATCGTTGCTCGTGGCGCAGTGGACAAGATGTTGCTTTTTCAATAACGTTCTCCTCCCCTGAGGGTCGCTTCATGTCCTCTGCAGCCAGTAAACCGGCGCACCTTTCATCTGTCCACGACAGGAGCTGAGTGGACCAGTACACCGGGGTACCCCCTACTCGTCTCGAAAGATGTACTGGGCTCTTTAAAGTGCACATGAGCATAAGGTTTATAGTCCTTATCCGAGAAGACTTGTTCCACCACCACAACTAGGAACGAGGCGGCCACGAACCCATGCCGGTATTGTTGGCTATGGTTACGGTGCCCCTGACTTAACCGCTCGGCCATTCGATACACACTACACACACACACACACACACACACACACACACACCCACATACACACATACACACACAAAAGACTAACTATATTATATTGATAAAATTGGTTAACTTCAAGTATTCATACTGTTTATAGCACCCTTCCCCTTCTTGAAAATATCACATGTTGACAACCCTGTCTTCTCTTTTGCTTAATGGACCTTTCTGGAATGTCAGTCAAACTTAACAACTGACCAATCAGAAACAGTGCCAGGAATACCCGCGTGTCCAACAAACACACGTGCTTTCCGACAAACGCACGTGTTTGTATAAGTTTTTACATTGTTTTGTGGAATCTTATTATCAAAGGGGCGGAGCTTAGCGGAAATGTTCATTCATAGTTCTAAGTATAAAATAAGGTCTATATTTTCCTCTGTGCGTATATGTTCACTGAGTACTTCTTATATTGATATAGTGTTTAATAAAACCGGACATTTGTTTTTATTGAATGTTACATTACAGTTTATACAAGTGAAAGTCCAGGCTGAAGATGAATGAAAATCATTACCTGTGTTTAGTTATACATTACCTTGCCATTCGATCAAATCGCTTCAAATATCTATGCATTTTCATATTCAATGTTTAATATTGCAATTATTCCAGAGATGTAAAATATAATTTGATCAGTTCTGTACCGGACCTACTTCACCTTACTAAACTTCAGCAAATGTAAGTGAATCTTATTGAAACATTTAAAGATATAACTTACTTTACAACAACGACGACGACGCCGTCGACGACCATGACGATGACATCATCCAGCTTGTCAAAATGGATATTAGGCACTTTTCGATTTTCACGTCAACATAGTCGACGTCTTGACATGATGTCATTTTCATGCACTGCGCATGCGCGATCGCCAACCCCTCGCTCACCACCAGATTTAAGAACGCGTTCACCCCGTTTTCACCGTCGACCCAAATCTACTCGCCCTGTTGACTGTATGACGTCATTTTTTCAAGATTGGCGATACCGGACCCGCTGAAAGGATCTAGCTAGGCCTAAGCAGAGACCTAATTCTATGCAATTTTCAAGTAATTTCATCTCTGACATCGAACAGGTTTACAGTTTACATGTCGATTAGCATTGTACAAAAGCACAAACTTTTCATCGTCAAGCACATTGCTGAAATATCCGAAGAGGATCGCTTTTTGGATTCTATGAAGATTCGCCATGATGGTAAGGCATGATCCTTGCTCAAAAAGTTTTATCACGTTATGCATGACGTCATCATGTTGACTCCTCGTCGACTGAAATCAAACTGATTTCAGCGGTGGATCATTATGAGCAGTGAACACGTTGACGGTCGCCTGAAGTCGACGTGAACGTGCTCGTCATTCACTCAATTGAAAAGTCCCCAGTGTCATAAAAATAGACTACGAACGACTGTGACTTGACTCGACTGGATTCGTTTTATATCAATTTCTGTTATTTACTAGGGCGTACGAAAATAATATCACCATTTAAATAATTTTAATCTTAATTTTAAGGTGAATCTATTTCCATTTTCTATTTTTAGCGACCTACGATCAAACAACCTTAATAAAGTTCCTCGGCTACCGAAGACAATAAACGCAATGTAAGTCCACCACTGTTCCGTGGTGTATCTAGGGGTATTGAAATGAGGTGGGGCTGATGAGGGGCGCGAAGGTAAAGTGGGATGATAAAGTTAGGGGGAGCTAGCTGGAAAAATAGTGATAGACCTAAAAGAGTGTGTGAAAGTAGAAACGTTCTTTTTTTACTCCTTTTAAGCATTTCAATATATCTCTTACATCAACTTTTTCAAGCACGGTTAAAAAGGGTGTGTTGCTGAACCAGCCACTGTATATCACGCTGGATTATGGCAGTCGCCAATATCTGAAATACAGTCTTTCTCCAATACCGGTGCCACACCAAATTATGTTCTATCATGTGTGTGACTAAATAAATAATAAATAAATAGACAATAACAACATTTTCACGAGCGTCGAATGCCTTGCCAGATTTAGGACAACAACTACTTTTTTCTTTGTTAATGACACTTTATTAACATTTCTAGAAATCTTTCCAACAATAAAATACAAAACTTCAGCACAGAATTTATGGGTATGTCAAGCCTGTTTGAATTGTGAGTACAAGCTTTTATACTAACAAAATGGATTTTTAAAAATTTAGATATCTACATCGTTGTATTTATTTATCATAACGTTGTATCGTTCTTATTATCATCATCACATCATCTACATCATCATCAGCAGCATATCCCTGATCATTATTGTTATCATTGGCTTTTATCAGCAGGAGCTGGAAAAGCCAATTGCTTTTGTTCTTATTTTGTTTTATACTTTTTTCTTCCATATCGTTTTCCTATCTTTTTGCATTGGGTTTGTTTCCGCCTAGAACTTTGGTCACTTTTCATGCTTTGTATCTTTTCCATACTTTGTCGAAGCATAGACCATATATCAAGGATGTGCCTCCTAATATTAATGCCAATCTAGAGTAGGGTGTGGATGTGAGAACCAATTAAAGGGATTTACGGGCAAACACTCTACATCAAAAACGTGTCAACTTAAGTTTAACCAAGTTGCAAGGAAGACATTATTTTGTTTTGGCAACAATCTAGTTTAGGGTGTATATTTGAGGGTCATTTAAATTTCTGACGTCCCAGATCTAAATATCTCAATATCCTAATCAATGGGTCTAAAAAACTTCCTATAAGAGTTTGTCATGGTCTAATAAAGAAATGATTACAATTTGGTGACGATCCAAAGTAGGTTGTGGATATGAGGACCATTCACATGAAAACGTCCCAAACTAGATATTTCAAAAACATATAAACTGATCTGAATTAAATTTTCTGGAAATTTTAAACAAATTACAAGGAAGAAGTTATTATGTGTTGGTGACGATCAAATTTAGGGTGTAAATGTGAGAGTCATTTTAATTTCTGACGTCCCGGACATAAATATCTTAAAAAACTTACCAATGAATCTAAATGAAACTTTTTTTATAATAGTTTGCCAAGGTCCAATAAAGAGATGATTACATTTTTGTGACGATCCAGATTAGGGTGTGGATATGAGGACCATTCAATGAAAAACATCCTAGACAAGACATTTCCAAAACGGATAAACTGAAAGTTTAGCCAAGTTACAAGAAAGAAGTTAATAAATGTTAGTGACCATCCAGTTGGATGTGAATTTGAGGGTCATTTAAAATTTCAACGTCCCATACCTAAATATCTCCAAAAACTTATCAATAGATTTAAATGAAACTTTGTATAATAGTTTGTCGTTGTCCAATAAAAAAAAAATTGGTTACGATCTGAAGTAATGTGTGGATATGAGGACCATTCAAAGGAAAGATCCTAAGACCTGATATACCAAAAACTGACCAACTGAAGTTTGGAGTCATTTTAACTGTTGACTGTTTTGTTAATTTTGTAGGAAGATGGATTATAATTCAATAGAGTATTTGCCTGTAGGTGGATTCAGAGGATGCGGATCGCTCTTTAGTCTGTAAGTCTCTTATTTATAATCTTTATTACCATCGGATTCAAAAGGGGCCCAAACCGGCTAAGGCCCCCTTGACTTTTGAAAATTAAAAAGAAAAAAAAAACTACATTTAAATTTTAGAGTGCAATCCCGTGGTGCCATAGCCATAAAATGCTGTACTTAAGCCCCAACAAGTGTGTAGTATGGGCGCTCCATCTGTAAAAACCACTTCCTGAGCCCCCTTTATTTTGGATTTCTGAATACCTGTATGTCACTCATGGTTTCATGATGCTTTGAAAATGGCTGTTGATATAACTAAGCGAAGCCTAAACAGGCTTATAAATACGATAACAAATACGAATAGGCCAACGTAAGATGTTTTTTTCCTACAAAACTACTGTTAGGCATTTGAATGAAAATACACATATTCATCAGGGTCGATGGTTCTCCCTAAACGTTGCGGCAGATTTGAAAATGCTCCATAATTCTAAAATTGATGACGTCTTTGATCCGCCACTAATATCATTTCATTTATTTCATCGTTAAAGACACTTAGAATACAATAACAACAACATTATTAAAACACGACACAAGCATATATAAAGTTCCACAATGGAATTGGCGACCGGGACGCAAGAAGGTTCCCAAATCTCAGAGGCCAAATGACCCCGGCCCCAATGTTACGCCATTGTAACCAATCAATCTATCAATTCATATGTCTATCAATCAAACAAACACTCTCTCAATTAATCAATATATCAGTAAATAAATCAATGAATCAATCAATCAATTACATAGCTTGACAAAATATATTTTCTATTTTCTTATCCAGTATTGCATGGTTGAGGCAAATTTTGTGAGTGTTATAGCTGATTTATATATCTAGGCCTATGTGAAAGTATAGGCCTACTCATTATGTAATGCATTTTCTCTTTTATAATATATATAGGTACATACGTGATAATCGCATAAAAATCCTGAATGGAAGCAACTTAGAAGGTCTTGATTCAATATCCGAATTGTGAGTAGGCCTGCTCTGCAATTGAAATGTTTTGGGAAATGTTTCATTTTCAATGAAATCCGTATTAACAAACACAATGACAAACACATTATTAAACCATCCTCCCAATTTGGAGATGATTTATGCCTTAGTTGAAGTATTTTATATTTAGAAAAATATTGGTCACAAGATTTTCTTGTCCATACAATTGCACGAATAGCTGTCTTTTGCACGCGGAATAATTTATCTGTAAGACTAGGGTATTGGCTACACTCTAATTTAATTACAATATGTTCAATTAGGTTGGATTACTGATTTGTGTACCGTCAACAGAGCAGAAGTTGGTAAAAACTGTCTTTAAAATAAAATACCGACGTATTTGCTAATCTATTTTGTAATCAATATGTGCTCCTAAAAATGTTGTTTAATCGACTCTTTTAATAGGTGTATTATCAAGTACTATATTGCGTTTATTTAAATCCATATTTATTTACGTTTACTGCTAAATAAAATGTATTTTTTAATTTATAGATAATTTGTTTGCATCAAACCATTGAAGACCTTAATTAATTCCATATTTACTAATTCAATTATTCCATCCTAATATTTATGTGAATAAATTGCTATCGTCGGCAAATAAAATAAAATATAAGACATTGGAAATGTCAAAACTATCTTTATATACAGAATAAAATGTAGAGAGTCTAAAATCGAACCTTGTTGTACTCCACAGTTTATTTTTCTGGTATCCGAGTTTATAGTTCCAAACTTTTTCTTCTACAAATAACTTTCAAACCAATTTATTGCAACACCCCGAATGCCGTAATGTTCTAACTTTTGTAAAAAGAATGTTATGATATATCGTGTCAAATGCTTTGGAGAGATCAGCAAATATCTTAAGCATGTACTAATTTTGATCAACAGTATCAGCAATCCGTTCAATTAAATCGGTAATTTTCATGTTGGTAACACAATTTTGTTGAATGCAATTTTCTTTTAAAAATTGAAATAAACTGTTGTATACAATTCTTTTAAGTAAAACTTTTGAGGTAACAGGTAAAATAGAAATCGGTCTATAGTTGCTAACATCTAACAAATATTAATGCTATCTATGAAGGAAGAGTTTAAAAAAAATTAAACTGATCATTGATGATCCTACACACCCACAAAATGAGTACTATGTTTTTTAGTAGATCAGGAATTAGACTGTGCCCACTTAAAGGAAATCACGATCGTTTTAGAAAATATTTTGTGCTAAGTTCTTGACACCTATTATACAACTCGCTTGTTAAAAGATAGATCTTGACTCAGTTCGTTGATCTGTATCGATTATAAACATAGGCGTAGATCCCGGGAGGGATGGTGGATATATCCCCCCCCCCAATATTTGACAAGTGGGGATGGTCCATTGTATCATCCCCCCTCAATATTTTGACTATGTAGGGGTTTAAAATGGAGCTTTACACACTTCAAAAGACTGTCCCAGAAATAATTTTCAATGTCGTATGCGCTTACAAAGATGAAAATTAGCATAATGTATTAATGTTGATAACAAAATTATTTTATCTGGTACCAATCTAAGCTCTTCTTTCCTTAGATGTTAGATGTGCTTG